AAGAAAAAAAAGAAAGAGAGAAAGAGAGAGAGAGGTCTAATAGGAAACTGATTAAGTCCATCAAGACGATTCGAGTGATTAGACCCGACGCTCGACTCTGTATCAAAAATTAATTTCTTTGGCGCAAATATTGCAAAGTGGGACTCTGGGGGGAGGGGAGGAGAGAGAGAGGGGGGAGAGCGGAGGAGGGAGAGAGAAGGAGAGGAAGGGGGATTGGTGAGCGAATGGAGAGAGGGAGGAGGAGATAGGGGAGGGAGGAGGAGAGAGAGGGAGAGGAGAGGGAGCAGAGAGAGAGAAGAGAGGAGAGGAACGTACGACGGAATTGGGATTTCTCGCGCGCGATCAAGATGGAGTGTGTGGGGGTGGAATGTGCAAAGAGAGAAACCAGAATAAGAGAAGAAGAGAAAGAGAGAGAGAGAGAAGGGACTAAGAGGGAGACGGAGAAGAGGAGACAGGGACAGAGGCAGAGAGGAGGAAGGAGAAGAGCGACGAAGAGGGAAGAGAAAAGAGAGGAAGAGGAGAGAGGGATGAGGAAGGGAGAGAGAAGGGATGGAGAGAAAAGAGAGAGAGAGGCCCGACTAGGTGAGATGGGAGGAGAGAGAGAAGAGGAAAGGCCAGTAGGAGTAAAAAATCGAAGTAACAAGGAAAGGAGATGTGGTGGAAAGGAGGAGGGTGGAGAAGGGAGAACAAAGACCAGCGTGGGAGGAGATAGCGTAGAGGTAGAAGGAAGCGAGATGAGCAGAATTAGGTGAGTAGAGGAAGGAAGAAGAAAGAGATAGGAGTAGGAGAGGAGAAGAAGCGGATAGAGAGAGGATGTGGAGGAAGAGGAGAGAGGAGATAGGTGGAGGAGGGCAGACAGAAGGGAAGAGAGGAGATTGGGGCAGGAGTGAGGAGATTTGAGAGGATTAGGGTGAGAGGAGGAAGAAGAGAGAGGGAGATAGGTGAGGAATCACTGATCATAACAGCAGAGGGAGGAAGGAAGGAGAGAGAGGATAGGTGCTGCAGGATGAGAAGGAAGGAGAGCAGGAGGATAGGCGGTGAGGATGGAGAAAAGGGAGAGAGGAATTAGGTGGCAGGAGGAGAAGAAGGAGGAGGCAGGATAGGGTAGAGCGGAGGAAGGAAGGGAGAGAGAAGATAGGGTTGGTAGCGCAGGAGAAGAAGGAGAGAGGAGGATAGCGCTGGAGGAGGAGGAAGGAAAGGAAGCGGAGAGAGGTAAGATAGGTGGAGGAGGAGTAAGAAGGATGAGAGAAGCGATAGGGTGGAGGAGCGAGGATGAGAGGAGGATAGTGAGGAGTGGAGGAAGGGAAGGCGAGAGAGGAATAGAGTGAGAAGGAACAAGGAAGGGAGAGAGGAATGGTCGGGAGAGAGAAGGCAAGGGAGAGAGGGAGCATAGCGTGAGGCAGAGCAAGAAGAAGAAAGGAGGATAGCGTGACGAAGGAGGAAGGAAGGGAGCAGAGTAGATTTAGGTGAGGAGAAGGGAAGGGAATGAGCAGGATTAGGTGGAGGAGAGGAAGAAGCGAGCAGAGTAGAACTAGGTAGCGAGCAAGAGGAGAGAGGAGATAAGTGGAGGAGGAGGAAAAGCCAGGAGTGTAGAGTAGGGTGAGAGAGGAGACGAAGGAAGAGTTGAGGACGTTGGAAGGATGGAGAAGGAAGGAGCAGAAGAGAGAGATAGGCGTGGAGTAGAGGAAGGAAGGAGAGAGTAGAAGAGGTGCGAGGAGAAGGAAGGGAGAGAGAGAAGTGCTGTGAGGAAGAGAGACGGTAACGGGAGAGAGAGATAGGGTGAGGACGAGGAAGAATAGGAAAGGAGAGAAAGGATGAATAGGTGGCAGAGAGGAAGAACGAAGACGAGGAATAGGTGGAAGGAGGAAGAAGGGCAGGGAGGAGCGATTAGGTGTAGGAAGGAGGAAGAAGGGCAGACAGAAAGGCACAGTGTGAGACGAGGAAGGAAAGGAAGAGGAGGACAGGTGCAGAGGCGAGAAGGGGATGAGAAGACGATAGTTGAGAGGGGGAGCGAATGGAAAGGAAGGCATGCGAGTAGGAATAGGTGTGAGCAGAGAAGAAGGAGAGTAGAGGATAGGTTGAGGAACGGAGAAGGAAGCAAGGAAGGAGAGCAGGAGGATAGGTGGAGAGAAGCGAAGGAAGAGAATGAGAGATAGCGGTGAGGAGCGGTAGAAGGAGAGACAGGAGCGATAAGTGAGGGAGGGAGAAGGAAGGAGAGAAAAAGAATTGCGGTGCGAGTAGGCAGGCGGAGAAGGAAGGAGAGAGGAGAGATAAGTGAGGAGAGAATGAAGGAATGATAGAGAGAGGAGAAGATAGCGGTCGCAGAGAAGGAAGACGGAGAGTAGGAGATAGGCCTTGGAGAGGGAAGGAAGGAGAGAGAAGATTAGGGTGGAGGAGGGAGGAAGGAAGTCCGAGAAGAGAAGAAATGGGGAGGGAGGAGGAAGAAGGGAAGAAAATTGGGTGAGGAGGACGAAGAAGGAAGAGAAGATAGTGGAGAGAGGGAGAAAGGAAGAAGAAGGAGAGAGGAGATATGTGAGAGGAAGGAAGGGAGAGAGAGATTCGTGTGGAGAGGACGAAGAAGGCGAGACGCAGAGATAGGTGGAGAAAGGAGGAAGGAGGAGAGAGAGACTCGATAAGGGGACATATCGTTTGTGAGAAGGCAGGAAGGTAAGAGAGAGAGGAAGCGAAAGCGAGAAAGGAAGAAGCGGAAAGAATTCACGAGAGCGAATGGAGGAGCAAAATGACTCGGAGACAGGAGGAAGGGAGAGAGTTGGAAAATAGAGGGAGAGAAACGAGAAGCAGGAACGAAGAGAGAGAGAGAGGGTTGTAGAAGGAAAGAGGGAAAAATCAAGGAATAAAAAAAAAGAGAGGGAGTTACCGGAGAAATTAAAAAAAAAAAAAAAAAAAAAAAAAAAAAAAAAAAAAACATTCACAACTCACAAACCTCCGGAAAACAAATGAATAAACACAAACAAGGAAAAACGACGACGGGGCGTGTACCAGGAAAAAAATATAACTTCAAAAAAAAAAAAAAAACTTATCGATCCACACCCGAACGGAAGACGCGGTTCGCTCGCAGGTTCCCAGGAGCGCACAGGAAGACGGTCCACCTACACACACACACACACACATACGTACACACGCACGTACATACATACACGGACACACATACACACACGCACATACATACGTACACACATACATACATACGTACACACATACATACACACGCACTACATTAACTGGCACATAACATACACGCACGTACACATACAGACACATACAAACACGCCACACACCATGACGTACATTACATACATTACATACACGCACAATACATACACGGACACATACAAACACGCACACTCAGACATACGTACACGAACACATACAAACACGCAACACATACAGACACGCAGTACATACAATACACCGCAAACACGACGCATCATATATTACACCACACCCGCATACAGTATCACAATAAACACAATACCACACCACCCACATGCACACTATACACCATTACACACATACATACACAACACATACACTTACAAATACAATACACCACGCACGCACGCACCACACACACACCACAACACACACACACACACACATACTTCACACCACACCAGCACACACACACACACACACCACACACACACACCACACCACACACACTCACACACACACACACACACACACGAGACGAGCGGAATCCGTTCTCACGAAACCGTCCTTCTGGAACATTCCTCGGGCATATGACCTAGCCTCACCTCCCCTTCCCCCCTCCTCCCCTCCCCCTATCAATCTCCTTTTACAACACCTTCACGCTGAAGATGGTGTAAGGGAGGAGGGAGGGGGGAGGGAGGGTGGTAGAGGGGAGGGGGTGGGGGTAGGAGTGGAGGGGAGGTGGAGGGGAGGGAGGGGGGAGGGGGTGGAGCGGTGGAGGGAGGGGGCGAGGGGGATGGAGGTAGGGAGGGAGGGGAGGGGTGAGGTACGAGTCGTTCCAGCCCTTCCCTCCGGCGGCCGAGTGTGGGTTCGGACTGCATTCGTCTCGTCGGCGTCGGGGATCTCGCGTGCATTCCCCGCCGCCGCCGCCGCCGCCTCCCTCCCCCGCAAGTCGAGCAGAGCGGCCGACACACCGACCGACAGCCGAACGAGCGAGCGAGCGAGAGGAGCGCCGAGGGAGGGAGGGAGGGAGCGAGCGAGGGAGCGAAGCGGAGGGGAGTCAACGCCCTTCGCTCTCCTCGCAGTCATCATCACTTTTGGCGGGAACTTGCGTTTGGCGCGCCAGCCACGTGACCCCCCCTTGACCCCCCTCCCCTTTGACCCCCCCGCGTAGTAACTCCTGTCCGGGGGAGGGAGGGGGGAGAAGGGGGAGAAACGTAGAGTTGCCAGACACACAAATCAAAAACTCGCATGCTGATTGGTCGGCGGGAGAACTACGCGCGTTCATTGGCTGGAGTCACTACGGGATATTTCAGGGCTGTCAACCTCGGCGAGGATGCGGAGGTTGTTTTTTAAGGTTTTTAGGGGTTTCAGGAGTATACTGGAGTTGCTTTTTAATTTTCATAGATTTATTATATATTCCTTATTATTTCTGTAAGATAAAATTTAAAAACCATATAAATTCATTGTGATGGTGTACCAAAACAGAGGTTCTGTTGGCAACGCCCGCCAGAATGTATTGAATTCTTGCGTGTGACGTCAGAGGAGACGCTGAACACCCACGAATCCAGACGTAAATATTACGCTCACGAAGAGGAAGAAAGTAGTAACATGTCTGCGTCACTTTTCCTATTCTTTGGTAGAAATAATCGTTTCTTCAACTACTTATACGAATAATATACATCAGTATCTTTTATTTCATAAGAAAAAATCTATCCGCCAAGCCCACGGAAAGAAAAACTGGAATAAATCCGAGGATGATAGTGGCGTAGGAATACCTTGTATAAGAGCCAAGTAGACATAGATATTCATCAGTTACACTCTTGCGCTCGTGGCGAGTGGACTCATTCGTCGTCGTCCTCGGGGTCTGGAAACCACCCACCCAAGGAGACTTTAAAGATCTCGAAAAAGTGCTAAGGATTAAGAAACCACCGACACAAACCCAAGCATCAATTAAGTTCAAGTGAAACCAGAAGGACTTCCCACAGTTTTGTTTTTAGTTAAGAGAAAAAGGCATTTTCTTAAAAAAAAAAAAGTTCAAGTGAAACAAACATAGAAAAGGAATCAAACTTCTCTCCAAGGCATTTCTTCCCAAATTTCGAGTGAATGAGTAATCTGGAATATGTTGGACGTTATTGTCTCTCCAAAGATCTCTCACATTGCAAGCATGGCGCCGCAGTCTAGCAGTGTCGCTCCGCCCGTGTTTTGCAGCGACGAAAAGGCCACCGCGACGTCTTGCAAAATGTGTTCAAAGTGCGGCCCCATTGCAGCCACGACTAAGCCTGCAACATCCAATGCCACAGCTTCGTCGAGAGTCACAGTTCCCCTGACCACGAGAGGTGATTTTCAAGTGGTTTGTTTTGGGATATATTGTGTTGTTGTTGTTCGAGCATAGTCGCATATGGATGTGTGTTAAGTTAGAATGGTGTTATGACACGATGGTGAATCATAATAATAATTAATTTAAGGGTATACGTATATATAGAGCACAAAAAATCCTATTGTTTATGTAGTGTTTGTGTGGAAACTGATTAGTGTTTATGTCGACGGCCGTTCGTGCTATTTAACCTGACGTCAGTGTCTCGCGATTCCACATGTAACACCTAATTGTATCTATTGGACGAAATGCAGTGTTGTTTTGGACTCGGGATTCTCGGATTAGGTCCGGGAAGATTTACATAATATCAGGCATTTTTATGTAAACAGCCCACGTGGGGAGGGGGGTGGGCGAGGGGGGGTACAAACAGGGGTTATTTACCTTTGCAATGAAGAGTGCAACGACTTTGGCGCCCCCTTCTTACTTGCTCTTGTTGTTATCGGGTTTGTTATGGTGTGGATGAGGAAAATTTGACTCGCGAGATAGAGGGTTGGAAAAGGTAAGAGAAATTACGTATCGTATAGTAATTGTATTGTACTCTGTGGTGTAGTTGTAGAGAAATTGTAGAGATTAAGTTTGTAGTTTTTCATTTCATAGGTGTTAGAAAAGGATCGAGGTTGTAGTTGTTCATTTAACGAGCTGCTTACAAGGAGAAAGGAGACTTGTTTGTGGAAATGGGTTCTTAGGCTGTTCAGTGCTTCTCGATTGTGGTTTAGCTCATAGCCAGGTACTTGTCTTTAGAATTCAGGCAGTTTTTAAAGATAGTTTCTTGTAAGACTCTTAATTTTAATGTGTATATTTAGGAATATTTGAATTGCTGATGATCAGGATGGTACAGGACACGTATTTGGCTACACTAATCACTTGTTGTTGTTGTTTGAATCTACCCTTTTTTAACGGGTTTGTGTAGCTTTCTGCTTTTGTGTTTTGTCTGAGGGTCGTTTAGGAGAGGACATTTCTTTTTTCTTTGGTTATTTGCAGTGCTGTGTGTGTGTTTGCTTGTTTTAGGGACGTGCTGTCTGGTGGTGGTTAGTTATGTCTGTGAAATCACTCCTTCCCTTTGTTGTCGGTTGTGATTTGGTGCTGGAAAGTGGGTTATTTGGTTTTCAATCTCGGCAGACATATAAAGGCTCATTTATATAATTTGCCTTTTGATCAGGATATGGTCTGAGTACGATTATTTGTTTTGCTTACTCCTCTTGCTGCTTTCGTAATTTTTTTATTATTATTATTCTCGCTCAAGGGATGTTTAGATAATCACGGGAAAGTGTGGTCAATTTAAACCTATTGTTCCCTGAACCAGATTGAACTTGGTAGCCATCCTTGCGAAAGAGAATTGTGTCGGATCTACGCAGTTGCTTTTGAGAATGGGCCCTCATTTTTTCTCCCTCGTTCTTCCCATTCCTTCGTTTATGGCAAGAGGATCACGCTGTGGTACTGAATCTCCTCAAAGGACGGAGTTCGGGGGGGAAGGGGTTTGTGTGGATGGGGGGGGGGGGAGAGGCATGTCCTACGCATCCTTTTCTCACAAGAAATGACGCCGCAGAGAATGACCTGTATTTTTTTTTTTTTTTTTTTTGGTGGTGTTAGTGTTTGTCTTTTTTATGGAAGAATGTACAGCGTTCTTTTGTGGGTTCGTTTTTTATATATATAGGACCCCCTTTCTTAGTGCGTTGGATGTTTGACCTACTATGGCGTCGGGACCTCGGGTCAGCCTGGCGCGCGGCCGTGTGTGTGTGTTGTGTCTATTCGCCGTTAAAGGTGTTCCTGGGCGAGGTTTGCGTGTGCTTTCGGAGGGCGGATGCCTTCGTCGGCGTTGGGGGAAGCTCCTGTAGACGCGGTGCAGACGAGGTCACGTTGCTTGACCCTTTCTTTTTTTGTTTTGTTTTTGTTTTGGCTTGCTCACCTCGAGGGTCCGTACCTGCCTGCCTGCCTCCCCTCCTCTCCTTCCTCCTCCTCCTCCTCCTCCTACTTGAACCCTCCTCCTCGCCCTCCTTCCTCCGGTCTCTCGTGTTTGGCGAGGCTAATATGCGCTCCTTGGTCACTTCTTCTCCGTGCGTTGGAGTTCGAGGCCGAGATTTCGTTCGTGCATACTTCGATGACCGCGCGTATTGTTGACCTGAGAAGCACGGAAAGTAGGTCAGGCTGTCTGTCTGTTGTTTTTGTTTTGGGCTGCCTCGTTTATTTATTTATTTATTTATTATTTTTGTTTTTTTTTTTTCCCCTATCCGTGTGGACTTGTACGTGTGTTCGTGCTCTGCCGGGGGAGAGGCAGTTGCACGTAGCAGGTAGTGGGTGAGGCGCTGGGCTTTGATAAGGGGGGGGGGGGGGGGAGCTTCCGGTGTCGTGGGATGAAGGAAGCGCGGCCGGGAGCTCGCTCGTTCGTCGCTCGCCTCTCGGAAACCCATTTAGATCAAGGAAGTGTTGCGTTTGCCTCTCTTCACATGCCTTTATTGGTTGTTCTGGAGAGAGTGTGTCTGGAGGGAGGGGGGGTGGGGGTTATTCGTCGTAGGAATCGTGCGCCGGCAAGTATTGAAGCGAGTAATTAATATTACATTTTTAAAAAAATCATGTTAGTATGTTTTGCTCACATTTGTTTTTTCTTTCTCTCTCCCTCCCTTCTCCCTACCACTCCGGGCGGCTTCTGTAGGGAATGGGCGGCCCGTTGAGGAGACGTACCGAGTGGGGCCAGTCCTCGGCAAGGGCGGCTTCGGGACAGTCTACTCCGGCTGGAGAGTGAGGGATGGAGCCCCCGTCGCCATCAAACAAGTTGCCAAAGCCAAAATCACAGCATGGGAAATGGTGAGTACAGTTTGTTGTTGTTGTGTTTATTTTATCGGTTGTGTTATTCGATTTTTTTTATGCATTTTCTATTGTGTTTCTGGATTGGTAAGGGTGGGTGTGTGTGTGTGTGTGTGTGTGTGTGTGTGTGTGTGTGTGTGTGTGTGTGTGTGTGTGTGTGTGTGTGTGTGTGTGTGTGTGTGTGTGTGTGGTGTGTTGTGTGTTGTGTGTTGTGTGTGTTGTTGTGTTGGTCTCGGTGCGGGTATGGAGTGTTTGTTTATGCCCCGAGTGTGTTGGAGGGTTGTATGTATCGTCTGCGTTGTTCGGTTTGTTATGCACACAGAGAGAGATGGGGGGGGGGGAGTTGGGGGGAACTGTTCCACTTCTGTTTCCTATTGTGTGCACTCTCTCTCTCTCTCTCTCTCTCCTCTCTCTCTCTCTCTCTCTCTCTCTCTCTCTCTCCTCTCTCTCTCTCTCTCTCTCTCTCTCTCTCCCTCTCCCTCCCCACTCCCGGGCATTGGCCATCTCGCAAATTACACTTTAAATTGAAAAAAGATGAAGATAACCGAAGCATCACTTAATGACGTTCCCCCCCCCTTATCTTCTCCCTCTCCCCACCCTCCCCCCCTCCCTGAAGCACCATCTTCATTACCCCCCTCCCCCCTCTTGCATCTTCGTCCCACCACTTTGCATCCCCGCAGAAGTAGGCCAGGTGAAAGAGGGGAGGGAGGGAGAGGGGAAGTAGGCTCGCCTCTCGTCTCCTCGCATTCGAGTGAGGGGAGACGGAGAGGGGGGGGGTGAGTGGTGGGGGGGGGGCTGTTGCATACGAAGGCTCTAATGCGTAGCTCGCTTGGAGGGAGGGGAGAAGTGGGGAGGGAGGGGAGGGGAGAGGAGAGGTGGGATGGGAGGGGATCGGATTTCTGAGGGGAGAGGTAGCTGGGGGTAAGGTGGGGGATGGGGGGGGGCAGTCTGTATACGGAAGTCGTGTGTCTTCTTATTTCTCTTATTCTTTTCTTATTGCTCGTTGTGTTGTCTACCTTCTTCCATTTCTCCCTTCTCCTTCGTCTCCCTTCCGCTTAGCTTCCTATGCTTATTTTTATTGTTTTATGTTTTTTTTTCTTTCTTTAAATTACCTCTCTCCCCCTGCATTCCCCAGCGAAGGAGATAGATAAGAGAGTGAGAGAGAGAGAATAAAGAATGGAGGGGAAAGGGAGAAGGCGAAGCAGACGTACAAGACGCAGACTGGGAAAAAAAAAAAGAAGGGAGAGTAAAGAGGAGAGAAGAGAGAGGGGCGGGGTCTCGGGCAGTGGCTGGGGTTTGTCTCGATCGATACTCCCCGACGTGTCTGTCTGTGAGGGGAGAGTGGGGGAGGGGAGGGCGGGATGGGGGGCGGAGAGAGAGAGGGGGCATATAGGCGTGGGGTGGGGGAGGAGACCGAGGAGGACGGAGGAGAGGAGGAGGAGAGGAGGAGAGGAGCGAGACGAAGAGGAGGAAGGAGGAGAATCTCTCTCTCTCTCTCTCTCTCTCTCTTCTCTCTCTTCTCTCTCTCTCTCTCTCTTCTCGTCTTGCCGGGCAGCAGGAGGTGGGCGGGAGAAGACCAGGAGAGGGGGGGCGGGGGTCGTAGGTACGACTGCAACGATACATTTATCCGGGGGTCGTTTCTGTGCTAAGTCGTCTTCGAATGGGGAAAGGCAGGGTCGTGGGGAGCTGCCATAGTCGCGGTGGTGGAAACGACGATTGGCAATGGTAGTGGTAACCATAATACCCGTCCCACCATCCTTGGCAACACTACCACCACCACCACCACTACCACCAACCCCACACCACCACCACCACACACCCCACCCCAACACCACTCCACCACCACCACCACACCACCACCACTACACCACCCGTCTCTGATTACAAAGCAAACGAGTGGGTCTTGGCAGCATCATATGCACGCGGATATGGGCGGACGTGACAGGGGGTCGACTCTGCAAACTTGCACTATTAACGCCCCTTCCTCCCCTTTCCTTCCTTGGCGCGGAGGTTGGTCGTGAAGGAGAGGGGGAGAGAGGAGAGAGAGAGAGAGAGAGAGAGAGAGAGAGAGAGAGAGAGAGAGAGAGAGAGAGAGAGGAGAGAGAGAGAGAGAGAGAGGAGGGGGAGAAAGAAAGGGGAAGAGGGGGGCATTCCTTTCTGTACAGGTGCCCCCCCCTCCTCTCTCTCTCTCTCTCTCTCTCTCTTCTCTCTCTCTCTCTCTCTCTCTCTCTCTCTCTCTCTCTCTCTCTCTCTCTCTCTCTCTCTCTCTCTCTTCTCCGCCCGCCGCCACTTCAGTTAGGGCACGAGGAATGCGACGCCCCGCCCCGAATTTTGCGCGGAATCTGCACGAAGAGGAAGAAGGAAGGAGGGAGAATGAGGGGGGGGGGAGGGGGGATGAGGGCACGCTTTTGAATATCCTCTCGCAACTTATCCATCCATCCTTCTATCTATCTTTTTTTTTTTTCTCTCTTGCCTCGTCTTCGTCTTCTCTCTCTTCTGTTTGTTTTCTCTCTCTCGTTCGTCCCGCTTCGGTTAGCATCGGCGGTGGCTGGCTCTGCGCATACCGGCATACCTAACCGTATGCGTCCCTGCAGCTACATACCAGTACCAGGCCCCTCCTCCCTCCCTCCTCCTCACTGTCCAACCCCCCTACTCCTGATTCCCTCTTTGGACGGCATATTTCTGCTTTTTTTTTCTCTCTCTCCTTCTCCTCCTATCTTTCTCCCTCTTCTTCTTCGTCGTCGTCTTCTCTTTCCGTTCTCCCCAACCCCCCCTCCTCTCTCTGTACCTGTTTATTAATGAGATCCACGAATGTACAGTCGGTGCGTTTGGGGGGGGGGGGTGCTTCAGGAGAGGGGTGGAGTGGAGGGGGGGGGGGTTGTAAGTGAGGTCTCGCCGAGGAAAGAATGAAGTCTTTAATTGATCTTAATCACCCCGGATGTTATTCGATTCCAGTTGGTAGTTAGTCGGTTTGTCGGCACCTTCCTCCTTCCCTTTTCCTTCCTCTCTTCCATAGGTCTCTCTCTCTTCCCCTCCTCCTCCTCGCTCCTCCTCCTCTCCCTCCCTTTCCCGTCCCGTAGAGTCCTGCGCAGGATTTAAATTTCAAATGAAGGAAGAGGTTGGGTGCTTGGGGGGAGGGGGGAGGGAAGAGGGGGAGAGAGGTACGTAGGGGATGTGGGGGTGACCTGTAGATGCTCATTTCTAAGGCATCTTTCTCCCCTCCCCTAACCTCCCTCACCCCTCAGCCTCTCCCCGCGCTCTCCTTCTTTCGTTCATTCCTCTTCTCTTTCTCTCTCTTATTCGTCTCCCTAACTTTCCTTTTTCTTTTCCCCTTGCCCTTATTCCTTGCCCCTCCCCCTCCATCCCCCTATTCACTTCCCCCTCCCCTTATTTATATCACCCCCTCTAACCCCCCTTCCCATTTCCCATATACACCCCCTCCTCCTCCTCCTTCTCCTACCCCCCCTCTGCCCTTTCCATTCCTCATTCACCTCCCTCTCCCTTCCCTCCATCCCTTCCCTCCCTCCTCCTCCCCCACCCCTTCCCCCCTCTCGCGTCTGGCCTTCGTCAACTGCCAAGGTTTCTGTCGGTCGGTGGGTCGCAGGACGCTCTTGTCAGGCGCCTAATTCGATCCTTCTTGTCGATTTCCGGTCCGGGGCGGGTTGGGCGTAGCGGTGGCGGCGGCGGCGGCGGTGGTGGTGGCGGCGTGGTGTGGCGGGCGGCGTGGGTCGTCTTCTTCGTCTTCGTGCGGGCGGGTGGGAGGGTGTGTGTGTGTGTGTGGGCGGGTAGGTTGGTTGGTGTGTGTGTGTGTGTGTGTGGTGTGTGTGTGTGTGTGTGTGTGTGTGTGTGTGTGTGTGTGTGTGTGTGTGTTGTGTGTGTGTGTCTGTCTGCGTCTGTCCGTCCGTCCGTGTGTGTGTGTCTGCGTGTGTGTCTGTGTGCGTACGTGTGCGTGGGGGTCGCGGATAGGCCTACGCGCCATGTTGCTAAGAGGAGGGAGTGAATGAGCGGCCGAGTCTGGAGAGAGACTTTCAGGAAAGGAAAAAAAAAAAGAAGAGTAGAGGGGGAGATCTTGTTTGGGTGGGGGAGGATTGTAGGGGAGGAGGAGGAGGAGGAGGGAGGGAGGGAGGGAGTGAAGTAACGTTGCTAAGGGTTTAGTTGGTTGCTGCTGTGCGCCCCTCACTCCCAAGACCTCCTCCTCCTCTTTCCTCTCCCCTACCTCCTCCTCTCTCCTCTCCCTCTCCCTTCCCTACCTCCTCCTCCCTCTCCCCTCTCCCTTTCCCTACCTCCTCTCTCCTCCCTTTTCTATTCCTCTTTGACCGTCTGAAAAAGGGTTGTTCTTCTCGGCTCCCTAACTTCTTATTAAGGCCATTGACACACGCGAGGTTTCAGTTTTTTTCTGGGCCGCGTCCTCGCCTTCTGTTTTGTCTGTCTGTGTCTTATCTGCCCTCCTCCTCCTCCTCCTCCTTCTTCTTCTTCTCTTTTCCTCCTCCTGTTCCTCCTCGGTCTCTATTTTTAGGCGGCGATAAGACGCACACGCGCGTCTGGGCGTCTGTGGGTTCCAAAACAGCGTTCTCCTTTTCCGCTGGGTTATTTTCACTCTCCTCTCTCTCTCTCTCTCTCGCTCTCTGTCTCTCTTTTCTTTCGTCAACGCGCTTCTCATATCGGGATTGAGAGGAACTGGAGAAGCGTAAGATGACGGGTGGTCGAAAGGTGATCGTGTTTCCGCAGCGGATTATCCTTCCCCAAAAATTTGGCGGGAAAATGTTTCGGTTTTGGCGGGAAGGCTCCGAGGAATCCTTATATTTTGGCGGGAAAGGCGGGCAGGTAGAGGAGGGAGAAGGAACGGGGGTCGTAGTACTACGTCTGGGAGGGGGGTGGGGTGGGGGTGGAGGTGGAGGTGGGGGAGGGAGTGTTGTCAGATGATGGGCATGTAATTTTGATGATGAGACCCTCTTTTTTTTTCCCCATCTCTTTTTTTTCTTTTCTTTTACTTTTGCATT